CAGCCGGGGAGCCATGGGGACCGCTGGGGGGCCCACAGCCGGAGAGCCATGGGGGCCGCTGGGGGGCCCACAGCCAGGGAGCCATGGGGGCCGCTGGGGGGCCCGTAGCCGGGGAGCCATGGGGGCCGCTGGGGGGCCCGTAGCCGGGGAGCCATGGGGGCCGCTGGGGGGCCCGTAGCCGGGGAGCCATGGGGGCCGCTGGGGGGCCCGTAGCCGGGGAGCCATGGGGGCCGCTGGGGGGCCCGTAGCCGGGGAGCCATGGGGGCCGCTGGGGGGCCCGTAGCCGGGGAGCCATGGGGGCCGCTGGGGGGCCCGTAGCCGGGGAGCCATGGGGGCCGCTGGGGGGCCCGTAGCCGGGGAGCCATGGGGGCCGCTGGGGGGCCCGTAGCCGGGGAGCCATGGGGGCCGCTGGGGGGCCCGTAGCCGGGGAGCCATGGGGGCCGCTGGGGGGCCCGTAGCCGGGGAGCCATGGGGGCCGCTGGGGGGCCCGTAGCCGGGGAGCCATGGGGGCCGCTGGGGGGCCCGTAGCCGGGGAGCCATGGGGGCCGCTGGGGGGCCCGTAGCCGGGGAGCCATGGGGGCCGCTGGGGGGCCCGTAGCCGGGGAGCCATGGGGGTTGATGAGTGGGTGAGTTCCTTCCAGTTCTGTATAGTTCATCCAACGAACGCTCTTATGTTGGCAGTCGTTACTGGTTCTGACAGAGAGAAGAAATCTACAACAAATATGTTGATACCTCGGCTAACTTCTCAATTAGTGAAATCCTCACGATTTGCAGGTAAACTGGATTGTGCAACTAAAAAATAAACACACCAGCCAACCCTGAATGTGTCTTTGTTAGAACACATAGTAAAAAAAAATCTAATTTTCAGCATTTCCACGGATAGTTAGACTTCCAGAGTTTCCTTTGCCAGAAAGCACTACAAGTTAAAAGAATGAACCTTTTGTAGGTCCTGTTGTCTGGCATATAGTGATACTATTGTGAAGTTTTACTTTAACTTTATATATGATCTTAAGGTGGAACAAATGTATTTGAGAGCAGGAGAGTTGAGTGATGAGAAGTTTTCATGTTGTTAGTGTCTTTCTAGATCTGACTTTTTTTTTTCTGCTTTAGCTGTGGGGGTAACCTATTTAGTTTTCACTGGTTGACTTCAACCATTTTCCTTAAAGTAAAGTGCATGTTTTGCCTTAGTTCAACTCATGGGTAAACTACAGTTTACTTTCTGAATTCTTTAGTGTTAAACTGTTTTTGAACATAATAGTCCAAATCATTACTTGAAATTTTCTCTCTCTATTTTAATTATGGGCCCACAAAAGTAGCATCAGTCACTATATATACTGTAGTTATCCCACTATGATGCTTTTAAGCCAGTTACTTTTTTTTTCCATCCTGCCCTTTCTTACCCAAAGGCATGTCATGGACCTGACTTGTCATCCGCGTCTCATCTCCTCTCTCAGGTGCACCATTAGGCATGTCTCCTACTCCTGAGTGAAGGAGACAAAACTAGGCTGAGATCTTCCCATGATCTACTGTTGATGAACTTGGCTACAGCATTCCATTCTTTCTCTCTGGGGAAGTCATGAAATACAAGAGTTTTCCATCTCTTGGGAAAGGGGGAGGAAAAGAGCTGGACTGGGCTTCTCTCAACCAGACCCATATGCCTGTGTATTTCCTGAGATGATAACCAGCTGCTGCTGCAGGCTACTGTGGTAGAAGTCTGTACCGCAGTCCTGACTTCAAGGTTCAGGGTTTAAATCCATCCGGTAGTGCACAATTTTTGGGTTGTTACAGTTTCACAAAATATAATTTTTCTTTTCTTTTTTGAATAAATACATTTAGAAAATTGTGTACAAAAAACTGTTAACCTAAATTACTTTCTCTTGCAAACTCACCCTCTCAGAAGTTAAGAAATGCCAGATTTAAGCTCCCAATGTACCTTTAATTTGACATACTCCCACTTGTGTGTATGCATCCATATAGTCTTAATTACATGAGTGCACACTTTTTTTTTTCTCCACGTAAACCCTATATCATTTAGTGAACAACTGCACAAGGGATGGAATTATGGTTGCACAGGCAATAGTAAATTTGGTATTTCTTAATTTCCCAGTGCTTGAGTTTGCAACCTAAATAACTTTTAAACTAATTTTTTTAGGCGTAATTTTAATGCTTAGCTATTTTAAAGCTAGACATTCATGTAATATGTTCAAGAAATTTAACACTTGAACAAAACTCTTTGTTTCTTTGAGGACATTTTTTGACAAGATCAGTGTCTTCTGTTCTGTGCTCTGGTCCTACATCTGCAAATTACAGCACACAACCTTCTAATAACAATGGAGCCCAGCCTCAGCGCTGGTATGCACTGGACCCTGAACTGGAAGAAATTTTGGTCCCAAGAAAAATGTCCATCAGCCCTTTAGAAAGCTGGCTGACTGTTAGGTACTCCCTCCCTAAAGTGGAAATCATCAATGTTCATGAAAAACTGGGTTATGAACCTGCCCAACAGTATGACTGTCCCCCACGTGAGGAGGGAGCCGATATGAGGGAAGAGGAAGGAAAAGTCGGCACTAACAAGGCTGAGTGTAAGAATGTGCTGGAGATCCGCAGGAGGAAAATGAATCGGCATAAATATAAAAAGCTGTTAAAACGAACACGGTTTTTGAGGAGAAAGATAATGGACGGTCGCAGGAAGAGACGTCAGGTAAGGTTGGGTTAAGCAGTTCAGTAAACCAACGGGTACATTTTCAAAAAGTGGCTGGCACTTTCTTTAGAGATGTTGAAAAGTGTTACTCCCAGTCCCGATGCTCTCTCTGTATGAGAGGCAACAGCACAGGGGGCAACTCCCCTCCCCCGCCCACGCTGGGTGGGGGAACAGGACTTGCATGTAACTGTGAAGGTTAATTGATGAACCTAGGCTCATATAAACACATCCCTATTTAACTGTACCTAGCTGTTTGTGTGGTGCTTTTCATCTAGAATTGACTTGTGTAAAACAGTTGCACTCTCATTAAGGTGACTGGCACAATTTCAATGTATTAAACAGATGGGTTTGCATATCATGCAAGTTTCAGAACCTTCTGAACTTTTTGGCTCTTTTGATCTGCATATCCTTGGCCAATTTTTTAATATTTTTGTAGCTGTAAAGAGATGTTTTAAACTTTAAATGATGGTGTGGTAGATCAACATGCACAGTGATGTATCTTGACATTCAAATACAGTAAAACTCCACTGGTCCGGCATCCAATGCTCCGGCACTCCTGATGGTCCGGCACCATCAGGAACTCGGAAGTGCTCCGGCTGCCGGACAATTGGAGCTGCTCTGCGCCCGGCTTCCCCGATTCAGCCACTGCTGAAACTGACCAGCAGCTGAATTGGGGAAGCAGGGGGCAGAGCAGCTGGGGTGCTGCTGGGTTGGTCCCCTAGTGCTGCCCCTTGGGGCTGCAGGACCACCCCGGCAGCACCCCAGCTGCTCTGTCCCAGCTGCAACACTAGTGACGGTGATTGACCCTGGGCACTCCGTCGCTGTCTAATGGGGTACTGGGGGTAACGC